AACCTAATGACCCATTCGGTGCCTATATAAACATTTGGCACCACTATCACAACTGTTGGTTAAGTTGTGATAGTTTGACAAAATTGTTGTTTTGAACACCAAATTTTACCTTTTGCAATGAAACTGGTAGGAAAGACTTCTAAATCTTGATAAATACAAAATTTCATGTTTTTTTGGATTCATGTTCACTTTCGTTCTCTGTTATAATGGAAGGATCTAATGGAGGTTAGAGAAGTAATTATGAAAAGAGGATGAGATCAGAAGCATAAATTGAAGTCATCCTTTTGAAAGTTAATTTGGCAGTGCTCATTAAAATATAAAACACATGTACCCCTGAGCCAGCAGTTCCACTTTTAGGGCTTTATCCTTTAGATTTTACTCATATAAGTGAGCCGAGATCCATATGCAAGGCAGTTTACAGCAGCAATTATTGTAATAAGAGAAATAGAAGAAACAACTTAAATATTCATTTGTAATAAATTATGAAATAGTCATAAATAAAATATGATGCAGATACTTAAAGGATGTGGGAGATTCATATTCTTCAATATTAAGACTATCAGAAAAAGTTTTCGGGGCACCTGGCTAGCTCCCTTGGTCGAGCGTATGACTCCTGATCTCGTTGTGTTTGAGTCCCACAGTGGGTGAAGCGGTTGCTTAAAAATAAAAAATAAAATCTAAAAAAAAAAAAAAGTTGTACAGCAGTACTACGTTTTAAAAATCTTATACATGCATGAACATAGGACATGTATGCAAGTCAGCAGAAAGAATTGTTTGATTTTGCTTAACTATGAACAGTTGTTGCTCAAAGGAGGTGATGTAGCCTGTAAGGAACACAAGCTCTTAAGCCAAACTGCCTGAATTCAAATCCTGCCTTTGTCGGTGATGATCCTTGTGATTTTGCCAGGTTCTTTAGCCTCTTTGTGTCTCACTTTCCCCCTCTCTATAGAGGAATGATAAATTTTGAGGATTAAGTAAACACATATATATGAAGCCCTAGAAGAGTGCTAAATGTGCTTTGCTACTATAACTTAAAGTTTTTGAAATTATGTGTTGATATATTCAGGGAAATGAGGTGAAGGGGACATGCAATCTCTCTGTACTACCTTTGCAACTTCCTATGAATCTATAATCACTTCAAAATAAATTTAAAAAAATTTTTAATGTGTATTTTATTTTTGAGAGAGAGAGAGAGACAGAACTTGAGTGGGGCAGGAGGAGAGAGAAAGGGAGACACAGAATCTGAAACGGGCTCCAGGCTCTGAGCTGTCAGCACAGAGCCCGACGCGGGGGCTCGAACCCACGAACCATGAGATCATGACCTGAGCTGAAGTCAGACGCTTAACCATCTGAGCCACCCAGGCGCCCCAACATAAAAAATTTTTTCAAACGTAGCTTAAAATAAGCAACTGATGTGAAAGACTGTCAAGACAGAATGTTATAAGAAAAAGGCAAGATACAGAACAGTGTGTCTGGTAAGCTCTATTTTGTGTAGAAGAATGGGGAGGGGAATAAGTATATCGATTTGCTTATGTAAAATGAAATTCTAGAAGGGCATATTAGAAACTAGTAATACTGGCTACTTGGGAAATAGGCAGTAGACTTTAGTTGTGAACTGAGTGGCTGTGATACCCATTCAAAAATATTTAAAAGTAAATAAGGGCAGTAGGCACTCTAGTGTTACAGAAGAGCCTGTTAGAACCCCTGAACCGTGCTGGCATTGATTCTGGAGGAAGGATGATTATGTACACAGAGTCTTAGGACTGAGCTAGTTAGTGCAGTGGAGGGGAGGAACAGACATACCCACAGGCTTACCCACCCACACTCCTACACAGTGTCTTGTATCCAAACAAAAGATGCCCAAATGGATATGGACCACGATGCTGTAATGACCGATGGATAAATACTCCCAAATTTCTTGATGTTTCTGCAAGCTCTAGCTCTTATCTCCTCAAACGTCTTTTTAGTGACATCTTAGGGTAAGTTATACTAGCCGCTGTTAACAAATGGCTCTTAAATCTCAGAGGTACAATACAACACTGAGTTTTTATTTCTATACCCATTACAATACAATGTGGACCAAAGGTGGGGGGGGGGGCATTCTCCATGTAGGGATCCAGGCTGAAAGAGGCACACCCATCTTCAACATATAGTTTCCGGGCCATCCTGGAAATTGTCATCCAATCAGCACACAAAAGAACAAAGAATCAAACAACATAACCAACCCCGAAAAGTGGCATTTTTTTTTTCCACATTCCTCTGCCATGAGCCAGAACCCAATCACCTAAAACTGTTGGGTTGCTGAGAAATATAGTTTAACTGTGTACCTCACAAAATAATTAACTTAGTGAACATGTAGAATTGTCTCCGCCACTGGCAGCTATTGATATGATCATACGATTTTTCTCCTTTAATAAGATGTCCTGCTTTTCACTGACCTTGACAAAAGATCCTGAGCTAGACTGCATACCTCTCATTCCCACTTTCCCCAGGACCACACCTCTCGTCCAAACCAAAGGTAACGTGGCTTGCTTCAGTAATTCAAATTACTTATAACTTCAGCAAATTAGTAGAATATCATGCGTAGAGCCTCCTTATCTAACTTAACTCAAAAAAACAAGTTCACCATCAACTTACTTTATATACAGTCATAAAAAATTACAAAGATTATGTGGTAAAATTATAATGCAATGTATTATGGAAAATAACATAGATTTGATGGCATACAATAAATTCTGGCATACAACAAATTTCAGCCTCTATTTTTTCAAAAATTGCATTGTTCTCTTGTGAGCTCCTATCACACGTGTGCTGGGTCTTCTTACCTTATCTTCTACTTATCTCCTAAGTTCTTGAATATTTGCTTCGCTGCTTTCCGTTCACACCTTCAGGTCTGTTTTTACAGTTTGCTGATTCCATCTCCAGCTCCTGTCAAATCTACTCTTTAATCTGTTTGGTGATGTCATTTAAATTACATTCATCTCTACACGTTCTAATAAGTTTGTTTTCAAGTCAGCTTGGTGGAGTTTTTCTTCTATAGTAAATTGCTCTTAATGTTTTAGTACTCTTTTTATGTTGTTTTTTTTTAATGGTTTTTTTTTTTTTTCCTAGGAGAGAGAGACAGCGTGAGCAGGGGAGGGTCAGAGAGAGAGGGAGTCACATACTGAAACAGGCTCCAGGCTCCGAGCTGGCAGTCAGCACAGAGCCCGACGCGGGGCTCGAACCCACAAACCGCGAGATCATGACCTAAGCGAAAGTCGGAAAGTCGGATGCTTAACCGACTAAGCCACCCAGGCGCCCCAATGTTTTTATTTTTAAAATTACCTTTCAAAGCAGCTACCATATTGCTCAATTATCTGAATGTTGAGCATGTAATTCTTCTAAGAAAATCTATTGAATTTCGCTTATAATGAGATATTTTGTAACTCTTTTTAAGTGCAGTCACCATCTGTCACCAATGTCATTACAATGTTATTGACTGTATTTCCTATGCTGTATTTTTAATTTCTGGGGCTTATTTATTCTATAACTAGAAGTTTGTACATCTCAGTCTTCATCACCTATTTCACTCCCTCTCCCCCTGGCAACCAAGTTTGTTCTCTGTATTTAGAAGTCTGTTTTTTGTTTTGTTTTGTTTTAAACTCCATATATACCCAAAATTGTATGGAATTTGTCTTTTGTCTGACTTATTTCACTTAGTATAATATCCTCTGGTTCCATCCATGTTGTTTCAAATGGTAGGATGAGATCTCAGAAGGATGAGATCCTTCTTTATGGCTGAGTAATATGCCATTAACATACATATACACAAGTACACATTATATATGTATATATACACACATACATATATACATACATACATACACATCTTCTTTATCCATTCATCTCTCAGTGGACCCCTGGGTTGCTTCCATATCTTGGCTGTTGTAAACAAGGGTGTAATAAACACAGGGGTGCATGTGTGTTTTCAAATTAGTGTTTTCATTTTTGGAGGGTGAATACTCAGTAGTGGAATTTTTGGAACATATGGTAACTCTTATTTTTAATTTTTGAGGAACCTCTGTCGCTCCTCAAAACCCATTCACAGTGGCTGTACCAGTTTACATTCCCACCAACAGTGCATGAGGGTTCCCTTTTCTCCACACCTGGGAGAAAATAATTATTTTGTAATTATTTTACAGTTTTTAAAGTGCATATGCAGCGAGCCTTATTTATGGGAAGTCTATGCAGCTGGGATCCAGAGTGGATGTTTGTACTGGTTTGGGGTTCGGTTCTGCCAGTGATCTACTGGCATGACTAACTCATGTTCCAGGTTTTTTTCTCTTTTTGCTTGTGGTTTCCTGGGTATCAGAATTCAAACCCAAAACCTGTTTGCGGTGTCAGACTCACGATTATAAGTTTTCACCAGGGACATTTCCCTCCACTGGGAACACCTTCCTTATTTCTGCCTACACATGGGTTTTCTTAGCCAGTTTCTACCCCTGATGGTGTAGCCCATGGAAGGCTCTATTTCTAGCATTAAGCTTTAGAACTCTAACCCTTCAATAATGAGGAGCACCCCCACTCCTTCCCCTGGAAGGCACCGAGCCACCTTACTGCTCTAGCTGTCTGTCTTTAATGATCTCAGCCTTCTGGGGATTTCCCTCACATTCTAGTGAGATCAGCCCTGCGTATAAAAGGGACATTGGTTATATGTTCCTAGCTTTTGTAGGTATTTGAGGCGGTGGGAGTGGGGGGTTAAACAGTATTAGCCCACTGTACGGCTAGAACGCCTCCATCCTACAATTATGATTACATAAAAATATCACCAAGCAATGAGCAGGAACAAAGGCAAATGGAAACAGATGTGTCTGAGGAGATTAGAGACGAGAAATTTCTTTTAAAAATCACCTTTTTATTATTGTTAACGCAACACAATTCAGGAAAAAAAAAAGACCCAACCTAAATAAATAACACTCTTAACTAAGCCAATTTTTGAAAAAAATGGCCAGTAGCATGGGTTTGGGGCATTAAAATGTTTATTAAATCAAGCTTTTACATTATATCCACCTACAGTATGTAAACAGATACAGTACGCACGTAAGTAAAAGGCTCTTGGATTAGAAGTGGTGGAAAAAATGAAAGATCCCTTTGCACACGGGTGCCTCATTCCTCCGTGGGCCGATGCCATGGGGCCAGGTTTTAGTTACGAGCTGAATGAAAAACCAGGAGTTTATCTGAACTCCAACCTGATCGGATGGATTTCAAGACAGAGATTTGTTCCACATTATAGTAGGCTGGATTATAGCAAGGCAACAGTGTAGTTTTTACATTCACAGATTGGCTAGACTAGTACAAATTAAGCTTTTCTTCTAGATGTCTCCCTCCCTATTACCATAATTAGTAAGAAATGAGAATTAAAATCAATGATGGACCACAGGTGGTTACAAAAATAGATAACTCGTAGAGTAATAAATATCTACAGTTAGCAGAGCACAAACTTACAAATTTGTCTTTTTCCGTCATGTGCAGGATAGTGTAAGTATGTTCAAGAGGTAAGGTCAGCAGACTTCAGATTGGTGAGAGAACATTCGTAAAGAAAAAACTATCAAGTACAAAACCCAGATTAGGAAGCTTGAATGCAGATGAGAATATATGTAAGATAAGACCCTAACCCCTCACGTCTAATTAGCTTACTTAATAGACACCACAATTAGCTTACAGCCCTTTACATATCTTAAAAAGTAATTCTTTGTTACCTATATACAAATTTTAAAAAAGACTAATTATGAGATAAGCAAAATTTGATTAACTTAACAGTAAAATCAATAAAACGTGTAGATTTTGTGTGCTTTCATATACTGTGTATAGGGATTTAAAATGCCTATGTTTTGGATTGAGTTTTTAAAATTCCCACAAAAATCATTTCAGATATAGAAGGGGAAAAGTCCCAAACCGCAAAAAAAAGTCAAAATCCTACAAAGTGACTGAAAATCCATGAATATGTAAGTGACATTCTTATGTTCCCTTAACACTTACCAAGTGCTGTGTAAGGTAAGTATAATGCTATTCTGAAATCAATCTCATCTAAGAAGACGCAGTGATTCCCATTCTAATTCTAGAATTAAAAGCACTTATTTGACATAATGTGCGTTTCAGCGAGGTCGACACCTACTTGGTTGTACTTGACAGTGTCACCTTAGATAAAGCTTCATCAACATCGAAGAGTCATGGCAGGCCTGAACTGTTAAAGCTCAGAGCTGACAATACCACAGGTGCGTAGTTATTCATCCTAACTTGTGCAGGGAGCGAAGGGTATGCTCAAGCCATCCCCAGGTCACCTCAGCCTAGAGCAGCAGTCCCTTGAAAACTCAGCAAGTTTCTTTGCCAAGAACATCCCCGTGGTCTGATGTGTTTGGGAACTTGCTGGCTCAGAGACGTTCCACTGACACACTGAACACATTCTACACCTTCAAGAGGGGTGTGCAGAGGCATCTTTTCCCAGACACACTTGACCTTGCCAGAGGACACCTGAACAGCCTGTGATGCCAGGACACTCATTTGCTATGGAACATGATTTGAGAAGTGCCAATCTGGGTAGAGTTTCAAAAGTAGTGGTTCTCAACTTGTAGTGAGCATTAGGAAGGCATGGAAGGCAGATTAAAGTATAGATACCTCACCCTGCTTCAGAGGTCTGGAGTGGGACCCAGGACCCGGCATTTCTAAGAGACTCCAAGTGAAGCTGATGGAGTGGGGACCGTGCTCTGAGTGGCATCCATCTAGACAATGCCCCATACAAATGTCAGCGGCTGGAAGCCTCTGGTGGGTTGCGGGGAACACTGGACTTGACTCCCAGCTCCACCCCTTCACGCCAGGCACAGCGACTGCAACTCAAAAGAGGAGTAGGAGGAGCCCCCCTCTTTCAGTGGATCTGAGAAGAGATGTTTGTACAAAGGTCTGCCTAACAAAAAGCATCACATGAGTGTCTTTAATCAGAAGAATGCGTCAGTCACAGCAGGAAAGTCCCTGATGCATTTTCTGCCTTCCGCCACTGCCTAGCCTTTATGAAAGCACGTTCTGGCAGCTGACGAAGAGAAAAGAGGCTAAAAATGCAGAAAACTGCGGCAAGAGGAAGATATATAAGTGGATCACCTAATTAAAAATATCTAATTGTTAAAAAAAAAAAAAAAGAAAATCAACCCACAATCGAAGTAGTTAACTATGCTGGCTTTGAGATAGAGTTTAAGTTACAGTATGTTGATCTTTGAACACACTCACTCCCCCGTTCTACCATGTTAATGCTGGTTCAGTTTTAACATCAAGATGATGAGGGAAAAAAAATTCCTTCACTCAAATGCATATGGACTCATGGTACAAAATTTAGCTGAGCTAGTTCCCATCTGCAAAGCTACCATGGTGGGAAATTTTCAAAGTAATTTTTAAAAAGGACCTTTAATTTTGGTTCATAGAAACATCCACAGCATGAGAAATGAACACAGACACACACACTCACACGTGTCTAGTTGTTGCCCATCACATCTTAGCCAACAAACTGCATCTCGCAATTCAAAACTAAACAGGTAAAAAGTCATACGCACACCCATGATGGGATTACGGTCAAGCGGACATCATATTGCCAAGTCCCAGTTTCCATCTGAACAAGAAAGACCGATCAGAAAGGCAGCATGGTCCCCCACACACCGCCTGAGCCCCTTTATACGTGCTCTGGATGGCTCTGGAGATAAGACAGCATCTCTTGCACGGGTTTGCCTTCATAGCAGATCTGATACACAGCAGTAAACAACGGGAACCTGGTTGGGGAAAAGAATGTGGAAAGACAAATTAAGCCATCTGGTTTACCTCCCTGAACCAAGTGGTCTTCCTTCTCCTGCCTAACAGATTGCAGACAGGTGTGCTACTTTGGACAACAGAGTGAACACCTTCTATATTCCTCTGCTATTTGGGCAGCAGAGAGCCTCTGCACCGTGACTGGAAGACATCAGTACGACCTAGACTGCCCTCTGCCTACTTGTTTGGAATGGACGGTCTACAGAGAAGTCATGGTCATCCTTGCAAGGGCCATCTGTGGTCATTTACATGCAGCTCAGGCTCTTGGTCAAGTCTGGAATGAGCCCAAGATTCTGTCACTCCATGAAAAGACGGGAGAATAAATTTTAAATTGCAAGGAGGTACTGCTCTCCCTTCTCCAAAAGGGATGATCCAAGGATAGAGCTGAGGCAGCCCACACTTTAACAGAAATAGTCCAGGCCTGGAGCACTCCTGTAGAAGTCAACGTGGGCACCCACAATTAGCAAAGCACTGATCTCAAGGTGGAAGCTGGGTTGTGAACACAGATATAAATGAAGGTTTGGAATGGCTGTGGGTATAAAGGTTTGTGCTAATGAACCACTGTGAGAAAAGACAGCATTGTCCTAGGGCACAGCTGGCTCAGCAAGTATTTCTTAATTTAATTTTTAAATTATTTCTGAAAGAGAGTGTACATGAGTAGAGGAGGGACAGAGAGGGACAGGGAGAGAGAATCCCAAGCAGGCTCCACGCTGTCAGTGCAGAGCCCAACGTGAGACTCGATCCCACAAACCGGGAGATCATGACCTGAGCTGAAATCAAGAGTCGGATGCTTAAGCAACTGAGCCACCCAGGTGTACCAGTATTTTAAGTTTATTTATTTAAGTAATATTTACCCCCAACATGGAGCTTGAACTCACAACCTCAACATCAAGAGTCACATGCTCTTCCAACTGAGCCAGCCAGGTATCCCTCAGCAAGTATTTTTTTAACAGCAGATATCACTAAGGAAATAACAGTTGATTTCAATGAGGCTTGTAAACATGCACGCACGCATGCACACGCACGCTTACAGCCAAAGTGACCCTGACAGAATCAATAGAGTCTTAAAGGCCATTCTGAAAATTACCTGGCTGGAATCCTATAATGACAACTTAATTTAAGAAGAGCAAACAGCTCTGAGGGGTCAAACATCTATCAACTGACACAGAATGTTACTTTTTTTTTTTGGCATCAAATCTGACTCCATAGCCTATGAGCTCTAGGCAAGTTTCACAACCACACTGACCCTGTTTGCGGTGTAATATGGGGCTGGACCTGTTATACTGAGTGACTTCTGTGTAACGTGCACAGTGCATGTGGTGTGTACACAGTAAGTGACAGCTTACACACACAGCCACAAGACGGCCCCTGGGTCCCAGCAAGCTCCTGAAGTCCAGAGCCCCAGTCTCTTGTGTTTACCTCTGCAACCTCCGTGCATGGGGTGGGGTAGGGGGGTCAGGTGCTCAGTGTGTTTGTTGAATTAACTACTGCGAATGGGAGTTAGAGCCTGCAGATTTTCGCCCCTTTTTCTCTCCATGGCTTAGCTTTCCTGTCCCTATGATGGGAAGCTGTGCGTCCCCAAAGCAGGGGGGCAGGTGATGAGTGGCCACCCAAAGCCATTCCCAACCCCCTTCTCTCTTTACCAACGTTGCAAATAGCCCGATGCTCACTTTCCCAGCCTTTCTTTGTCCTACAATTGGTCAATGAAGCAATGTCTGGTCAGCAAGACAGGACCCACTGTGGAGGTCTTCCGGAGAAGGCCCTCCTCCCCTTGAGAGGCACTGGGGGAGCAGGCTGCGCCCTGAGACTGCACCTGCTGCATGTCTCTGAGTGCGGCTGTGTGAGTGTGTGAGGCACGGAGCGGCCACCACCATCCTGAGGGTTTGAGGGAAGACCAACGGGATCACCGAGAGTCTGCGCTTCTTCTTTTTTTTAATTTAAACCCGAGTCAGTTAACATAGAGTGTAATAATGGTTTCAGGAGTAGAATCCAGCAATTCGTCACATACCTACGACACCCAGCGCTCATCCCAGCAAGTACCCTCCTAACGCCAGTCACCCGTCGAGCCCGCCCCCTACCCCCAGCAACCCTCAGTGTGTTCTCTGTATTTAAGAGTCTTTCATGGTTTGTCTCTCTCTCTGTTTTTATCTTATTTTTTCCTTCCTTTCCCCTGTGTTCTGGTTTACTGAGATTCTAAACTTTAAGCACTGTGCCAACACCAGTTATGTACACCTCCAAAATCCTTGTTCTATGAGAAAAAGAGCCCAATTGTTTGAGGCATTTTTTAAAGTTCTTTTTTTTTATGTTTGTTTACTTAGAGAAAGAGAAAGAGAGAGAGCAGGGGAGGGGCAGGAAGAGAGGGAGACACAGAATCCAAAGCAGGCTCCAGGATCTGAGCTGTCAGCACAGAGTCTGATGTGAGGCTCGAACTCACAGACCATGAGATCATGACCTGAGCCAAAGTCAGACACTTAACCGACTGAGCCACCCAGGCGCCCCATGTTCTAAGCATTTTTAACTGGGCATTGCTCTTGCAGCCAAAAGCACTCTCGAGTTTTACAACCAGCACCTTCCAAAATGGATTACGTAGATGGGATGCTAACAAGAGATGTGGAGTATGGGGGGAATTTCTGTGGACAAGTAACTTGCTTAATCCTCACAACCACCTGTGACGTGGATAATAACATTATCCCCATTCCATAGCTAAGGAAAACAAGGCACACTTTCTGACTCTAGAGCCGACATTCAACCTCTAGGCCATACTGACCATCTAAATGCTATTTTCTATAACATAAGATGTTACAAGGCCAATTAGATCCATTTTGGGGACTCTCTAAATGAGGTCAGAGTTGAAAGGAGGGCGAAAGACAATATTTCACAGAAAAAAAATCGACATAAGCCAATCAGTCAGCCATCCCACTAATGCATACTGAGGACTTAAGATGTGTCAGGCTTCAACCAGGTGCAGGCTGTGCGGTGTTATATGTCAGGCCCCGGGGTGCCCGGCTGGCTCAGTCAGAAGAGCATGTGACTCTTGATCTCAGGGGCATCAAGTTCAAACCCACATTGGGTGTAGAGATTACTTATATAAATAAAACTTTAAAAAAAATACAGGGGCACCTGGGTGGCTCAGTCAGTTAAGCACCCGACTTTGGCTCAGGTCATGATCTCAGGGTTTGAGATGTTGAGCCCCCCATTGGGCTCTGTACTGACAGCATGGAGCCTGCACCAGATCCTCTGTTCCTTCCTCTCTCTGCCCCTGCCCCATTTGTGTTCTCTCTCTCTCTCAAAAATAAGTAAAACATTAAAAAAAAGAAAAAATAAATAAGGCCCCTGCCATCAAGGAGCTTACAACACTGTTCTGGGCTGAACTGGGATTCCAGTTCCCAAATTCACTCAACGCAGTCCTGCTCCCCAGCAATGAAGTCAAGCAGGGTTCCTAAGTGTGGGCCCTGAACCAGTATGGTCCTTATGAAAAAAGGAGATTAGGGCTCACACGTGGACAGAGGGAAGACCATGTGAAGACACAGGAGAAGACGGCCATTTACAAACCAAGAAGAGGGGCGCCTGGGAGGCTCAGTCGGTTAAGTGTCTGACTTCAGCTCAGGTCATAACCTCCCGGTCCGTGGATTCGAGTCCTGTGTCGGGCTCTGTGCTGACAGCTCAGAGCCTGGAGCCTGTTTGATTCTGTGTCTCCTTCTCTCTCTATCCCTCCCCTGCTCGGACTCTGTCTCTCTGTCTCTGTCTCTGTCTCTCTCTTCAGCCAAGAAGAGAGGCCTTAGAAGAAGGCACCTGCTGACAGCTGGATCTTACACTTCCAGGCTCCAAAACTGTGAGAAAATACATTTCTGCTGTGTAAGCCTCTGGATCTGTGGGATTTTGTAATAGCAGCCCTCGCAAATGAATATAAACACCTTACACTTGCACATGCTCGTAAAGATGCTGCACAAGGGCATCTAATAAAGCAAAGCTGACAACAGAAGAAAAACCCAGACAACTTTACTATCCATCCAGGGGGACTGATGAAATAAGCTGGTTCTCCCACACAGTGGGATGTTCTGCAGCCATTAAATGAGACGTGTAGGTGCAGATGTGGCATGATCTTTAAGTCGTGGCCTAACGTGAAGAAAAGCCCGGGGCAGAGCCAAACGTGGAGCATGGCACCCATTACAGAAACAGAAGCATACGGGGCACCTGGGTGGCTCAGCCAGTTAAGCGTCCGACTTCGGCTCAGGTCAGGATCTCACAGTTTGTGGGTTTGAGCCCCGCGTCGGGCTCTGTGGTGACAGCCAGCTCAGAGCCTGGAGCCTGTTTCAGATTCTGTGTCTCCCTCTCTCTCTGACCTTCCCCTGCTCACATTGTCTCTCTATCTCTCTCTCAGAAATAAATAAAACATTAAAAAAATAAATTAAAAAAAGGAAGTATGCAAAGATTATTAAAAAAAAAAAGAAATGGAAGCATATGCTAAGAACTCAGAGAATGCCTGTGTCTACTTCTCACTACATGCCTTTTTCCATGATTTGCCTTTCTTTCTTTAACTTTGAGAGAGAGAAAGAGAGAGAGGGAGCCTGTGGGAGCGGTGCAGAGGGAGAGAGAGAATTCTACACGGGCTCCAGGCTCAGCATAGAGTTCAATTTCACAACCCTAGGATCATGACCTGAGCTGAAATTAAGAGTCAGATGGTTTATTATGTGGAGTGACATAAGTCAGTCAGAGAAAGACAGATATCATAGGTTTTCACTCATATGTGGATCTTGAGAAACAGAAGACCGTGGGGAAGGGGAAAAATAGTTACAGAGAGGGAGGGAGGTAAACCATGAGAGACTCTTAAATACAGAGAACAAACTGAGGGTGGATGGGGGGGCAGGGAGAGGGGAAAGTGGGTGATGGGCATGGAGGAAGGCACTTGTTGGGATGAGCACTGGGTGTTATATGGAAGCGATGAATCTTGGGAATCTACCCCCAAAACCAAGAACACACTATACACACTGTTATGTTAGCCAATTTGACAATAAATTATATAAAAATAGAATACAATGAAATTTTAAAAAAGAAAGAAAAAGAAAAAAAGTCAGATGCTGGGGGCGCCTGGGGGGGCTCAGTCGGTTAAGTGTTGGACTCTTGGTTTCCACTCAGGTCATGATCTCACGGTTTGTGGGATCGAGCCCTGTGTCGGGTTCCATGCTGACAGCCTGGAGCCTACTTGGGATTCCGTGTCTCCCTCTCTCTCTCTCTACCCCTCCCTCACTCACACTCTCTCTCTGCCTCTCAAAAATGAATGTTAAAAAAAATTAAAAAAACAAACAAACCTGGAGTCAGCAAGCCACAACCTGAGAAGCCACTCTGCCCTGTGGCCTGTTTTGTACTGCCTGCAAGCTAAGAATGACTCTCACTTGTTTCAAAGGTCGTTAAAAAAAAAAAAAAAAAAAAGAATATACAAAAGAGAGCTATATGCAAGCTGCAAAGACTAAATATTTATTATGTGGTTCCTTCCAGAACAAGTTTGCTGGCCACTGGCGGAAACAAGATGTTCAACCGGGGAAAGTTATTTGCGTCTGGAGGCTATGGATGAAGACTTCCTGGAGGACAGACCCAGGCCACCCCGAATATGGTTAGGACATGGACGTCAAGGAGAGCCATCCAGGCGGGCCAGACGCACACAGAAGTCTGAGAAGGAGCTATCTGGGGCCAAGTGAAGTCTGCTTCGACTGAAGTGGTGGTAGGGGCTCACGGGCCGCACTGTTAGACAGTGCAGCTGGAACACGACAAAGAGGCCCCCCAAACGCCCACCTAAGGACTCCTTCTGGATGCACAGGAGGCCTGTGAATGAGAATACTCAGGGAGGGCCCCATGGCAATCATCAGGTTCACCAGGTCCATTCAGTAGATAATGACAACTGGGACACAGGACAGATAAAATCTGACCCACCCAAGACCACCTGGCCCGGAAGCCACAAGGTGGCCTTAAATGCTGCCCTCTGGCTTGCTGCTCTTTCTGCAGCCATGGAGAAGAGAGGGAGAGAAGGGAAGAGAAGAAGACTCAGGTAGCAATGGCTGCAATGAAAAAGGGAAAAAATCAAGGTAAGAGGTGGTGTCAAGTTCGAAGTGCAGAAGGGAGGCTCGGTCTGAGCTGCTCCAGGAGGCGGGGTGGGGAAGGGAGAGCACCACAGACTCTGCACTGTGGCCTGGGGGTTGGGGGGGGTGGCTAGAACCCGGCAGTGACCTCATTAAGCGCAGGCTCAGGCCTGCTCAGGCCTGCATCTCTAATCAGAAGAAAGAAAGTGGGCTGGGACAGAGGAGGCGCCATCCGCCCAGGGCCTCTCGCCTGCTTGATTACACCTGCTGTTTCCACAACGCCAGTTCCATCCTCAGCCCCCCAAACCCCCAGAGTGTACTAACCCGGGCAGCTCGTGCACGCTGGTGTCCCATCAGGCACACCCCATGGTGTCACACATGTGCCACTTTAAAACCGTGACTGGGAGATAATCCTCATGCGCAACCGCCCAGGTATTTTCTTAAGACTTTAAAACATTCCTAGGGGTGCCTGGGTGGCTTAGTCTGTTAAGCGTCCAACTTTCGCTTAGGTCATGATCTCGCGGTTCGTGGGTTCGAGCCCCGCGTCGGGCTCTGTGCTGACTTCTGGCTCAGAGCCTGAAGCCTGTTTCAGTCTGTGACTCCCTCTCTCTCTGACCCTCCCCTGCTCACGCTGTCTCTCTCTCTCTCTCTCCTAGAAATAAAACATTAAAAAAAAAAAAAAAAAGACTTTACAACATTCCTGATAAATACTTAGTGGTCGTTGGAGTAGATTGACCACACACAAACACGACTGTCTGGAGTTGAGTACGTAAGGAAAACATGCACATCAGAGGTGTTTAGATTTACGTAAGGGTAATTCTCCTCCTCTGGAGGCCTGTTTATGACTTCCATCTCTGCCGGGCTGGTTTTGAAAGCCATTTCAGAAAAATAAAACGCAAGTTAAAGAAGAAAGACCAGTACTCGGTCCTCCCTCATTTTCTTTTCTTTTTTCTTTTTTTTAAAATACTCATTCATTTTTTGGGAGACAGAGAAACAGAGTGCAAACAGGGGAGGGGCAGAGAGAGATGGAGACACAGAATCTGAAGCAGGTTCCAGGCTCTGAGCTGTCAGCAGAGCCCAACGCAGGGCTCAAACCCATGAACCGTGATATCATGACCTGAGCCAATGTTGGACACTTAACTGACCCAGGTGCCCCTGTCCTCCCTCATTTTCGCTTTTTCATGGGGAACTCTAATGCTGACCAGTTTGTACCAGTCCAGAGAGGACAGCTGGGCGTAAGGGAGGTAAAGGCGTACAGTCGGAAATAGCAGATATCTGGACTGGACAGAGGATGAAGGAGATGCACCAGAGAAGCAGCAGACGTGTCCATAACCACCACGGGCTCAGGGAGAAGTGCGTGCTCCTGATTGGCCACAGCGCCCTCCTCTCCCAGGCAGCCAAACCTCCCCACCCCCCCCCAGGAGTTAAGGATCCACAGAATGCACAGTGTGTGCATTTATTAGATGGCATCTAATATTAGCTGGCGTCACGGTTATGGATGGAGATGCAGCACTTCAGCAGGATAAAGGGCTGAGTGGCAGGTTGGGCCGCAGGGCGGCCATGGAGAAGCTGGCAGCTTTGTGGTGCTACAGAGTTTACTCCCCCGACTGAGTGGCAAATCGAGCTGACCCAAGCCCATCTTTACTAGTTTACCAGCTCGGAAGGGTAGTGGAGGTTAGATGCACCCATCCACCCACAGGACACAGGGACCGCAAAGCTGGTCCCCAGACCTTACCACAGGGCACTTTTAGTGGTAGAATTCTAGAGTAACTTGTACTTTCTTCTTTTCTCAATTGTTTGACATTTTATTAACAAGACTATATCTTTTTTTTTAAAGCATATTTATTTATTCTGTGTGTGTGTGTGAGAGAGAGAGAGAGAGAGGAAGGGCAGAGAGACAGAATCGCAAGCACACTTTATACTGTCAGCACAGAGCCCAATGTGGGACTCAAACTCGCAAACTGGTGAGGTTGTGACCTGAGCCAAAAATCAAGAGTCGGATGCTCAGTGGACCAAGCTCCCCAGGGGCCCCTCAAGACTGTATCTTTTTTGGGGTGCCAGGGTGGCTCAGTCAGTTAAGCAACCAACTTCGGCTCAGGTCATGATCTCACGGTGCATGAGTTTGAGCCCCACATTGGGCTCTGTGCTGACAGCTAGCTCAGAGCCTGGAGCCTGTTTCAGATTCTGTGTCTCCCTCTCTCTCTCTGACCCTCCCCTGCTCACACTGCCTCTCTTAGAAATAAATAAAACATAAAAAAAAATTTCAAAAAAGAGAGACTGCATCTTTTTATAACACATAACAAGATCATTTTTTTCTTTAATTTAAAACCTATAACGTGGAGCTCTTACCAAACACCTGCAGGACAGAGCAGAACCTCAAACTCATGTTTTGTCACATGCCTTATAGAACTGAATTCTCCTCAGGAAGATGCTCACATCCTACTAAGGACGGAACTAATCCAGGGGAGTTCTGCACACACCTGTCAAGTGGCCATGCCCATGTGTGCTGACTGGGCTGACCGTGGGGAGGGAAGCAGGGGGTGGCCCTGCTCTGGTCTCAGGGACATCAGTGGGGGGTGGGGGGACACTTACTTGTCCACCAGCCCCTTCTGCTTCAGGATCCGGTACACTTCTGCAGAGGTCTGAGGGCCCTGAAGCTTCTGTCCATTCAGCATCTCTTTCTCCAGCTCTTCGATGGTCTTAAAAACAAGGATGCAAACACTAAGGCAAGACTAGAGAACCCCTTGTTTCAGGAGGGGAGTTGGGGGGGGGCGCGATCCCCCTCTACAAGACAAGGAAAGGGAGACTACAAGCTAAAGGACTATGGCCCAAGTACTTTTAAGTGAAAGCGGACAGGTGTCAGCAGGACCCGCCCAGCAGATGACAAATGCTGAGCACCATCGGCCCTGGGCTATGGCTCGCCCGGAGTCAGGGGGCTGGGGGGCAGGCCAGGGGCTACCTTCCCAGTTCTGGCAAACGCCTCGGCCACCCTGCGGTTCCGGCCTCCGTAGCAGGTGGTGATCAGATCGGCCACGCCGCAGCTCTCCAGGAAGGTGGCCATGGACACCTGGCCCTTGCAGAAGATCCTTGCGAAGGCGATCATCTCCATGAGCCCCAGGCGGATGACGGCAGCTTTCGTGTTGTCTCCACTGTGGAGGCCGTCGCAGAACCCGGCGCCCACGGCTACGATGTTCTGTGAAGGAATCGGAGAGGCCCGTCACAGGCCCGCTGCGGACACGGAGCCCGGGAAGCTTGGGCGTGGGAGGAGGGGGGCGGAGGCAGGGACCCCGGCGCGCATGCTCAGAACGCTCCACCCCACGTCAGCTCCGGTGCCCTGTCTGAGGTGAAAGAAGGGGACCAGGCTCTGTGCTCCCATTCATAGGACCAAGAGCCTAGGTTGGGGTTAGTAGGAGATAGCAGTCGAGGAACATCAGCCATGGATCTAGAATGGTCGACTGTAGTCTCTGGTCAAACACTGTTTGAACAAACTGCCTTTTTTTTTTTTTTTAAATCAAATGCCTTATTCAGCAATAACGGTCATACGGGAAGGCATGCAGCCCACAAGTCCATGGCTTGATGATATTCTCCCAAATGAAACACCGCCTTGTAACCAGAACCCTGATAGAGAAACAGAGCATAACCAGTGCCCCAGAAACCCACCCCCCCACCCCTCTTCCAGTCGCCACCCCCACAAAGGTAACCGGTCTCCTGGCTTCTAACAGCACAGACTTGCTTTACCTGCCTTGAAATTTTATATGAATAGAATCGTATAGGTGTGTCAGCTGGACATCATGTTTTGAGATTTAGCTGTATTTTTACATACAGCACATTAATTTTCATTGCTGAAAAGCACTCTACTGTGTGAATACAGTGCATTTAATTTTTAAAAAATTTTTAAATGTTTATTCATTTTTGAGAAACAGAGCATGAGTAGGGGAGGGGCTGAGAGAGAGGGAGACACAGAATCCAAAGCAGGCTCCAGGCTGTGAGTGAGCTGTCAGCTTGGAGTTCGAGTGGGGCTCGAACTCACGGACAGCAAGATCATGAGCTGAGCTGAAGTCGGACGCTAGCTGACTGAGCCATCCTTGACAACAGGGTAGTTCCCAGTTTGGGGCCACGCTGGTGCATATCCCTTGGTGACCACACGCGGGCATCTCTGTTGGGTGTGTACCCAGGAGTGGAGCTGCTGGGTCAGTAGGTCTGCATGTGCGCTGGTCAAGTTTCAGCCTCTGTTTTATGTAATTATCCCCACGCAAGCATTCGTGGGGACCCCGCTCTCGCGTGAACTCCGCCACACACAAAGCCGATAAGACACAGACCTGCCTCTCTGGAAGCTGATAATCTGGTTCAGAAGACAGCACACGAAGGGCCAGCTGCCTGTCTGTGTGCCGTCTGTGGTTGCCTTGGGGCTGTTAGCAGCAGATTTGTGACACAGACCGTAGGGGCCACACAGGAAATATTATGGGCTTTGTGGCCCCACAGAAAACATTGGCCTACCTCTGGCCTAATAGGACAATAAAACGTGTGCCAGTAATTATAACCTGTGCAGAAAGTGATGTTCCGCAAGAGGTACTGAAAATCTGATTTTCCTTGTTTGTTAAGCATGCCCTGGGAGGGGTGGGGGCTGGTGACGGGGGATGTGGGGGCTGAGGGTGCCCCCAGGGAGAGCGGCAAAGACAGAATGAGACACAAAGCTTGTTCTCAAAGAGTTAACAATAGGGGTGCTGGGTGGCTCAGTTGGTTAAATGTCCGACCCCAGCTCAGGTCATGATCTCACAGTCCATGAGTTCAAGCCCCGCACTGGGGTCTGTGCTGTCAGTGCAGAGCCTGCTTGGGATCCTCTGTCCCTCTCTCTCTCTCAAAAATAAATAAAATATTTTGAAAATATAGTTGGCATAACGGACAACCAACATATCATCAAGGGATCACTAAGCAGGAAAGTCTGCATGGAGGATGTGGCATCTGGCCTGGGCCTCAAATCCTGTGTAGCAGACAACTGCATGTGACAAGTAATGTCTGCATGTGTCCACTCATTTGGGGCCTCCGTCAAGTCCTGGGTTCCAGGCCCTTTCCACTTTATCATTCCCCTTCGCGGAGAGAACACTCATTGCCAAAAAAATGCAGATATGTTGCCTCCGTCCAACCACACAGCATTTTTCAGTAATACCTTGGAACTATTTATGGATTTGTGCCTGGAGAGATCTTAAAAATGAAGCTAACTGGTAACAAATGGGAAATGAAATAAGTGCATTTTTTTTCCTCCAAAAAAACCATATATATATTTTTTTATCAATGAAAGAATCTCTCTCAAAACAGCAGGCCTATGGAAAAAATCTGAGGGGTGAGGTTAAAAAAACGGAACAAACCGGGGAGGAAACATGTCCTCTCTGTTGGCCGTGCAGTTTCTATTAAAACCCTTCAGACGCGGCATCCATGTGGCCAGGCCCACCCTGAGAAATAGAGCCGGCTATTGCTCACCAGGAGACCAAAGACAGATGAAAGCCGTTTCAGATGAAAAATTTAAACACAGCACCGAGCCCAGCAGAAGCTTCTGTCTACCTCCAATACACCAGTAAAACAGAACCATCTCTTCCACACGTTGGTTGGAACAGGGGACAGGAACGGAGGGGGCCCGGAATCTGCCTGTTCTCTTCCTCGGGGAGAACACCAAGGCCTACTCCGGTGGCTGGCTATTCTTCTCACGGCTATCAACACAGAAAGGGGAAGTAAAAAAATTCTCTAAAAACGATCAGAAAGCCGGGGCGCCTGGGTGGCTCAGTCGGCTTCGGCTCAGATCAGGATCTCGTGATTCATGGGTGCGAGCCCCACATTGGGCCCTCTGCTGACAGCTCAGCGCCTGGAGCTACTTCGGATTCTGTGTCTCCCTCTCTCTCTGCCCTTCTCCTGCCTGCGCTCTGACTCTCTCTCTCTCTCTCAAATAAAATCTTTTTTTAAATGATCAGAAAGCTGACATGAACCTGTACAGGGGTGGGATGAATTCACACTCTTTCTGTGCTCTAGATCCTCTCTCCGTGAGGCTCTGAGCTGTTCAGACAGAGCAATGACGTAGCTTCCGGGGGGATGCTCTCCTCCTACAACAGTCCTGCTCCATTCAGACCCTGCTTCCTACAGCTGCAGGTAGAGCTGGCCAGGAAATGGGTCTTCTGCAGACAGTTTAGGTTTTCATAAGCCCCTAACTTCTGTCTGGGCCTGCAAAAGCCTCCCGACCGCCTCCTGCCACACAGGCAATGTAAACTGCAGGCTTCACGAGCCCCCGATGGCAGCCATCCATCCCCAGGAACCCACTGTATGCGCTCACTGACACAGGAGGTGGGCAGATGCTGGCGTGGCACACTCTAGAGTCCGGCAGCATCCCGTGAGGAGGGGAGGGGACAGGCAGGGTGAAAGGAACCCTGGGATGCTGAGGGGCAAAACAATACCTTAACCTTTTACGTGGGGCACAGGGATGGTAAGAACACCCAGGGCTGGGTCCAGACGGACCCAGACGCCCCTCCTGGCAGAGCAGCCGGAATAAGGAAGCCATGCGGAGACACCAGAAGCATGTGCACTGATATCCAGACGGCTTCTGGTTCTCACTTTGCCTCACTGCTGTGTGACCCTGGGAAAATCACTCCACTTCTCTGAGCCTTCTTGGCCTCAGAATTAAAATTCAGGGCTTGGAGAAGATCTTCAAGGCCTTTCTAAGGTGGTGACATTCCTCCAGGAAAGCTGGTACAGCTGTGGCCTGCCCTGGGGCTGCAGATTCGTGAGACAGTGCCGAGGCAACAAAGAGGCACCTGGGGACCTGCAGAGGGACTGGCCACAGAGGCCTCAGGGCCGGCCGACTGCTGGGTGAGCCTGCCAAATGGTTTTAGTGAAGTTACCATGGCAACGCGCCCAGGCCTAGGATCCAAATGGTTAGACTGTGACAATGGCTCTCGAATGCTCCCTGGACCGTCTCCTGTGCCCCCTTTCCCACCATGTGACCCATTCTGGAAGTTACGAGACAAACCCAGCACAGTATGTGTCTACATACTGAAGGAGATAAACCAACTTCCTTCCATCGAGGGGGCCCTAGACACAGAGGAGGAGAGAGGGGTTGTTGGTGAAGAGCCCACAGTGAGCCCCTGTGCACACTGTCCCATCGGAACCCTCCTGACAGCCTCACACTTGCATGTGCTCGGTCCAGGGGGCGGGGGCTTAGGGAGGTGCAGCCACTTGGTCCTGTCCTCCGCCCCACAGGGCCACTCCCTTCCCTGTGCCTTACTGCCTCCTGGGTGTGGCTAACTTGGCCCAGCCACTCCCACCCTCAGGTTCAGAGACCTTCTAGGACCCTAGCAATCAGATGCCAAAGGGGAGTGCTTCTCTGGCCTTCACTTAGGCTTAGGAAGTAAACAGGGTAGACTGAGAAGAAAGATTACACTTAATCTTATTGAACCTCTAAGTGCTTCCTGTATTATTAACTGGTTTAATCTTCACAACATTCCTACGAGGTGGGTTCCATTATTATGCACAGGAAGAGGTGAGGAAACCCACTGTTGGGTAAGTAGCTCCCCCAAGGTCACACACAATGGGTACCTGCTGGACCAGGCAGCCTGGCCCCAGAGTTCTCTCTAGGGGGTAGATCGCACTGTGCTGCTGGAGGTCAGTGAATGAAAGGTACCAATGGGCCACCCCAGATTCAAGATAAGAGCTTTCTAGCAGGAAGAGCTGACCTCACAAACCAAAAAGACTTGGAGGTAAAGGAGTGAGCCCGCAGTCACTGGAAGCATCCAAGCAGGAGCTGTAGTGCGTGAGCCCTGAGCTCCAGAGCAAGCTTCAGACTTCTCATGTCACTGCTCCCAGAGAAAGAGTGAGGTGCCCATGGCCTAGGACTGCAGCCAGCCTCTTGGCCCTTCTGTGACCCCTTCACCACAAGGCACACAGGTCAGGGTCACCTCAGTTTCCCCTAGATGGCTGACCTCCCCACATTAGGTGGTGGGGGAAGAGGAGCAGGAGACCACTGCAGCGCAAACTCCTCCCTTCTAAGGGGACCCTGGGTGCCGATCTGGTTTAATCGCCTTATGATGGATTTCGAAACCCTCCCTCTCTCTACCACTTATCACTGTCAAAAGAAAGACAAACACACTGAGCCAGTCAGATTGTGTTTGAATAGCATCCGAGCAGATGTCCTCTGAGATCACTCAGCTGTGA